AAAAAAAAAAAAAAAAAAAGAAACAAAAAACAAAAGCAAAATTGGAATATCCCTTGAGGGAGAAGGAATGAGCAAATGCGTGAGCAATAAATATTTCTATGTGAGAGCGTAAGATTACATTCGTTAAACAACAACAACAACTAGCTTTATTTGCATGACCATAAATACATACAGTGTTGCAAAAGCTTTGTAAACTAAAACTAAAACTTAAACTAAAGCAGTAATGATTTTCATGAACATATGATAAGTTTATGATATAGCGATCAAGTTGCATGGGTTTGATATAAAAGAAGAATACTGCGTAGATCAAAGCAAGATGAAATAAATCACTAGTAAAGAAGATACAGTGGAATCCCGATTTTTTTAACCTCCAAGGGAAATGAAAATTGCTTCAAAAAATTGGAGAGTTCGGGAAATCGAGGGTAGAATTACAGTATTTGACTGAGGAGAGGGAACGACTTTCGGCTCGAGTTATCGGAAAGTTCGAAAAAATGAGGGCTCGAGAAATTTGGAATTCCACTGTAACTGTTTAAAAGTCGGAATGATATGTCAAACTATTTTTCCATAACATTAATCTCTTAGAGTATTTATTGCAATGCAGTGGAATCCCGATATCTCAAACCCTCATTTTTACGAACCTCCCGATGACTCCAACCAAAAGTCGTTCCCTCTTCTCAGTCGAACACTGTAATTTTACCCTCGATTTCTCGAACTCCTATTCTTAGAACCAATTTTCGTTTCCCTTGGAGGTTCGAAAAATCGGGATTCCACTGTATACAAGAAAGTGAGATTCATCTTCAATTTGATTCGATTCACAAATAAGCTGTTTTTCGGCCTCCCCTTGTACACCTCCTTGTTCTTCATGGCACGAATGCAGCTACTCTAATCTTCTCAAAACCTAATACGATAATGTCTGGGTCTTGTTTACCAAATTAACATTCGTATCCGAAGAGCTTGTGTTTGTTGCGTCAGACACAGTAGGACGGTTTTGGCTTTTAATGAACTTGCCATTAGAGCGTTAACTTCTTTACAACACTTAACAAAATATGTCTTTAACAATTATGTCTTGAATCCCTTAAATTAATTTTCTAACTTTAACTGGATTTAAATTCCATGCCCCAATAGCAAATGTGCTACAGAAATAATTTTTCCAACTCACAGTGCTTTTCAAAATGTCGGGATAAAATTTAGACCAAACACCCTTGCCAGCCACAGCCCTCATTACTCCAACGTTCTCTAATATCCTAATGACTTAAATTTGCTAGCAAGCATTCCTATGATGAAGATTAAAAAGCTTTACGTTCTAATGATTACTGTTTGTTTTATACAGTCCCAACAGTTGTTTATCCACTGGATAACATCACTGTTACAGAAGGTGAAAACAGGACCTTAACCTGTAATGTTTCTGGGAGTCCTACGCTATCTGTAGCATGGATAGAGGTGAGGACTGGAATCCGTTCAATGGGAATCAGACGTGAGCTCACACATATCAACAGGAATGAGTCTGGGGAATATAAGTGTGAAGTGCGCAACTCTTGTGGAAGTACTACCACAAGCATATTTCTCATTGTGCAGTGTAAGTGACAGTATTTTTGAGCTTTATTCTGATTGTTTCTTTTTAGATTAGACATGTTTCTCATCTACGTAGCCTAATAAGTCTTCATGGATACAATCTAATGTTGTTTTACATTAGCATTAGTTTTCCCAGTACAATCAAGCAAGTCACCTGCAGTTTTGCTGACACGGCAGTGTGCCAATTTCGCTTAAGTCAGACATGATTTTTTTTTCCAGTCTAGGTTGCATAAGTTTGTTTTTAATAAATATAATTATTTCAATCAATATTCTGGACACAATATAATTTTTAACAAGTTGTGTTTGAAGAGGTACATGGAAATAGACTGTTGTTACGTAAGTACCAACATGCAGAGAAAGTTGTGTCCGATAACATGGGGCTTACAGTGAGTTTGGCCGTAATGGCTACTGGATTCTATCATTTGCTTGCCTGTCAGGAAAGTAAAATTTGTTGGGAAAATAATATTGTTGAGGAAATTCCAATTTCAGAAGTACTGTAGAGTTGATGTTAGTGTACAGTATACAATGTAAGTTAAATTTTAAATTAATTAATCGTGCTAGTGAGAATGACTTTTGGACTGTGACATGGTAGTCACAGCTTCACTGAAGTGCAAGCACAAGCATTGGCATTTATGAACCTAAAAAATGATCTTACCTGAGCACAACAAACTGCAGCTATAAAGACAAAACATTCATTTATACCATTCTTGAAGTTCTTGACTCTATGGTTGCAAGCACGCTACATGAGTTTACAAAAAACTTGTCATAAGAAAATGAAGTACATGTACGTTTACATGTACATATATAGAGGATATTACGCGGTGGCGAGAAGATATGAATTTTATGTTTGAGTGGCAAGAACAATATCTCAGGAGTGAGTGAAGCGAACTCGTGAGATATTGTTCTTGCCACGAGAACATAAAATTCATATTTTCGAGCCAATGTGTAATGTTCTTTTTATTATATGGAGAAACCAATTCAACAAAAGCAAAAGGCGGGAATCGTGACTTCATTGAACGATACGACACTCACAAAGGTGACATACGGAAAATACGCCACTCGGGTCCCGGATGAAGTGGCGTATGGAATCTGCGAGTGGTTTAGTTCCCAGTAAAACACTCTTCTCCATATAATAAATGAGTTTATGAACCTGCAGTAAACAGAGAAACAATGCCTATCTGTTATGTGATGACTTATGTCTCACTAAATCACTCATCACTAAGTGTTAAAAATATATGTATATGTGGCAAGAAGTCTACAGTGCTTGTCCATACAGGGCAACTAGTTGTATTGTTGAACTCATTTCAAAATACATGTAGCACTGCTGTCCTTTCATAACAATAATTGTAATCAGCTACTTGCATTGACCATCCTTTAGTAAACTGATGTACAGGTACGCAAGACAGATAACAAACCTAAGGCTTCTTGATAAGAATTATTAATGATTAATACTGGTAATGCTTAATGTTCTTTGTTTGTTACGTTTTTAGAC